TTAGGATAAAGTCTTCATGTAAAAATTCGCACAGCAAACAACAATAAAGGAGAAAACAATTATAATATACCTGACTTGAAAATTAAATGGCATTCAATTTGCTGTGTTTTAGTCCTTTGGTAGACGAAGAAGGTTAAGTATCACCAAACAACAATGTAAAAACACGATCATAAAATTGTACCTGGAGAATAGGTCTCATGAAGAAATATGCATGTATAGAACACATCTAATTTGTATAGAAAGTTAAAAGTGATTAAGCCTTCCTTAAAAATAGATTGATAAGAAATTCAAATTCAAAAATTATTATCAAGAAATCGGGGAGAAAGATGAAGGAAACTACTAAACAATGAATTTGAATGCTGATGAAAAATTAAAACATGGGAAATATATGGAGAACGTGAAAAAGCTATAGGAGAGTAAAATAATAATAACAATGCAAAAAAAATCAACCTAATCAGAAAAATTGCTGACATGGAATCCTAGTCATTGGAGCTAAGTCAAAAGTAACTAAAAATTGGATTAATCCTAATGTTGAGCTGTAAAATTGGACATACTTCAAATTTCCCCTTAATAAAAATGCTTTTAAGTTTTCCAAACAAGGGAGAGAGGAAAGAGAGACTAGTGGGGCCAAACCTTAATACGTTTTATTTTTTTTATTTAAGTAATAGTGGAGAAACTAAATTTGAAAACAAAATTTCATAAATTAAATAACATGGAAGTTGATGGTTGGATTATTACTTAAGTGTTGATGAACTTGCTCATTTCCAATTGGTGACACATCATTTAGCTTGTAAATTTTATCTACAAATTTAATATCCCTAATATTATTCTTCTTTTTATTTTATAACGGGTGGGTTGGTGTCAAGTCATGTTTAGTGGTATCTACCGATGAATTTTTCTCCTAAAGGTGGACCGATCCATTTTCTGCCACCGCATTCCCCTCCATCAAATACAATATAGTAATAATAATCTCAGGGACACTTATATTGTTTCCTTTTTTGGTTTGCTTTGCAATAAAAACGCTTGTTAATAGAATCTTATTTGTCTGGAAAGGCTTTGTACCTTGTACAACACAATATATGAATGTGATGATTCAACCAGTTGAGAATCTTCCTTCAACTATGAGCAGTACTACCCTTCTTCTTCATCTCATCATGCGTAATTACATCCATATCTAGCTTCCTTGCTGCTCTTATACACTTGAAACTGCTCTTACTTTTGGTCATGAACAAGTAAAAATAAGATAAAAAAAAATAACGAGTAAAAATAATACCCCACATCTAAACCTAAATTTAAATTGTGGTAGAAGTTATTTGAGGAAGATCATTAGTTTGTTCTTTGGGTTCCATTGCGAAACGTCAAATGGTCATGTTCAGATAGTCTTTTAATTTACCAAATGTATGAACAACTGATGTAACCGCTTTTTCATACAACGCTTTGAGGTATTCCCAGGTATACTCAACTACAACCTTCACAAACCAAACAACCCAGAAAAATCCGACGACCAGCCCTAAACCTGGTACAAGGATCACCACTTCTAAAATCAAGGCAAGAGTTCCAAGGAGGAGACTAATCTTATTGATGAATGATTCTGCCAAATCCAAATGAGGGCGAGCTCGCACATGGAGTATTCTAGAGCCAATTAGTGATCCGATATAAGCAATTAGTGCAACAATTAGGGACACCATAGTTAGGTAGTCTGTGTTGAACAGGGACTCATCTCTGGCTCCCTGCTTCAATTGGAGGAAACCGCCTAGTATGGCGATGAGGGAACATATGTATTTATCCACCTTTGTAGAACGTTCTTCGCTTGTGCTGTTCTACATATATAGTTAATGAGAAAATTAAATAGAATTTCATTAATGAATTATCTACAAATATATAATGATATGATATGGCATTAGGGAACATGTGTACATACAACGTCAATTAATGAATTTATCTCATTAGATGTTGATTGTATACATCACATGCCAATATAGTTATAAATTAATCAAGCCAACATATCATCTAAAATGAACTAATTGAAAACGTATGATATATCTATAAATTAATCAAGTCAACATATCTTGTAAATTCAACTAATTGAGAAAGTATGATATACCTATAAATTAATCAAGCCAATGTATCATTTGAAATCAACTAATTAAGTAGGTGAGTTGTAACAAGGTACCTAGCTAGCTGCTATTTTCTTCCATGTTTGTTAATAACGAATCGATCTAGAGTTCTAGACATTTGACGCTCTTAATTTCTCAAAATAATGCCTATAGTTATCAAAAGCTGATTTTTACAGATTATTTAATCAGTTCTTTTTGGTCTCCCCATCATTTTTGCCAAGTAAAAGGCAAAAAAATAAAAATAAAAATACAAGCAGAGTATACACAGTGCACTTACCCTTCCAGTTCGAGACGTAGAGGGACGTTAACGGCAATGTATGGGACACGATTCATCTGCGTATATATGATACTTCTGTACAGAGGAATACAAAAACAAAATTCAGATCGAAGACTTGTCAGTCGTCACTCCTTCACACACACACACAGACGCAGAAATACATTTACCCTTCCAATTCGAAACGTAGAAGGATGCTAACGGCAATCTCTGGGACACGATTCATCTGCGTATATATGATACTTCTGCCAATATGGGCCGTCAAGCTAAAGACAGTACTTAAGATGGCAGCTTACTATTGAACCAGAAATATGATTTTGTGAGTGAAAAAATGCAGCTCCGCTTTGCCGGGAGCTGTGCCGGAGAGGAGACTCTTCTCAATTCTATTTATAGACGAAAAAACTGAAGGATTGCGCTGATTGGTCATCACCCAAAATGCTTTTTCTAATTGCCCTCCTTTCCCTCCTCTTTGTCTCCTCTCTGATTGGAGGGGATCCGGTGCTCCTCCTCTTTCTTCTTTCCCCTCCTTTCTCTCCTCTCTGATTCGTCACTCAGCCTCTCCCTGCTGCTAGGTGTTCATCTGTGATTGGTCAGCGCTGCTGATTTTTCAACAAGCAAGTTTTGTTCGCGAAGAAATAGGCGCGTTGCGGGGAGTTGTGGACCCATCACCGATTCACCATAGATCATCTTGTTGTAAGTTGTAACATTAATTAAGCCCAGATGCATCCGCATCATACAGCATCTTATTGTCAACTTTTACTTTTCGTTAATTCCTTCAAATATGATTATTGACTGGAAGATTATAATTACACACTCTAAATTACTTTCACCGTACTTTTTTAATTTTTTTAATATTTTTTATCAAATGTTATTAATGTGTAGAAAATATTAAATAATTAAAATAGTGTGGGAAAGTAATTTGAGGTGTGTGAATATAATCTCTCTTATTGAAATTAAAGCTCAAAGAGTATTATTGATATTGAAAGACATTTTCCACTATGGATCCCTCTTTCTTCTAGTCTATGGATTAAAACTTTATTTCTTTGTAGTTTTTGGTCAAGATCTTTCAGTTTTAATGAACGTTATTATTTTAATAATAAATTTTTTTCAAGATCCTCAGGTTTTAATGGTAATGGTGTATGAATAGGAACTTAGGAAGTAGGCGGTAAGTAGTCCAGTTTTAATGGTAATAATGTATGAATAGGAAGTAAGACTACTTCGAAACCCCTGGCAATTCTAAATGTTGGAAGAGAGGTTGAATATATTAACTTTTGCATCCATCATGCATGATGCATATGGGAAGAGGCGCTTTTTTTCTTGTACTACAAGTGATGTAAAGAGAGAGGGTTGACGAGATGGTATGTGGTACAGAATATCAGTAAATATCATGGCTCGAAACAGAACTTTTTTTATCCATAACTTGGACCTGGAAACAAACCATGGACTAGGGATAGACAACGGTTATGGCAGACGGATAATTGCTGTTACTTACGCATAACCGTTTATGCTTATGCCCGTATAACCGTTTACCGGTTGGGTAATTACCCAAACGGTTATACCCATACTCATAACCGTTTATAAATGATTAACCATACCCATAACCGTATACGCATTTAACCGTAACCATTTAATACCCGTTTACCCATTTACCCTGTTTAACCCGTTTATCTTTTTTTTTTTTTTTACCATTACCCCTTTTTCACCCGTCTACATGTTTTTTAACAACTTGAAATTTAGAAAAAAAATTGTCATAATTTTTTTTTTTTATAATTAAACACCGTTATAGATAACATTTATCATACATTTCCGTATTTTAATTTTTTAAGTCCTTATACCATTGAAATAATAGTTTACGAACGATATTTTTAACTGTTATCAATGAAGGTAATATAATATTTGCTAAGTATTCTTGGGTTATGAAAACTGTTTAGAAGATGGTATTCTTGGGTTATTTTACCCATAATGTAAAGTATTAACAGAATATATATAATGAGCTACATTATATTATAATTAGCTATAAAAACCATGCACTATAGTCAATAGCATTGATTTAAGTTTTGTCCGATAAAGAACATGGTTAGGAAAAGGATTACACTTATTGACCGTGAATCATGTCTTTTCGGCAACAATCAAAAGATGCAACATTCAAATTGAAGAGATGTGATTGTTGGGTTAATAACACAACTTTCCATCCCCTGTCAAACAGCAGCATATATATATATATATATATATATATATATATATATATTTAAATATTCAATATTACATATTACATATATAAAATAAATGGGTAAACGGTTATCCGTTTATAACCGTGGTTAATACCCATAACCATCCATTTAAATTTCACGGGTAAACGGTTATACCCATAACCGTTTATTTATCTAAACGGTAACTCATAATTGTAACTGTAAAGTTTAAATAGACGGGTAACCGCAGATATTTTGCCCATCCCTACCACAGACATTTAAAGTTTCGTGGTAAATAAATTAGTTTAACAACGGGCATAAATAGGTCCGTTGTTGAAGTGATTAAAATAACAACGTTCATTTAAAGCCTGCTGTAGTTTAGCTAAATATATCACGAGGCAAGTCTGTGATTGCAAAAAATTTAACTAACAGCTCCTTTTTAAATCTACAACGGGCTTTAATTATTATGCTTATAATTTCAATTTTTTTATTTTTTAATCAATCAATATAATAATTTAGATCTTTATCGAACCTCATCTACGGTTTTCAGACCGGACGCCGCCAACCACCAGGTCTACCCCATTCGCATATGTCGACGATTTCTCCGACCCCAAACTACTAATTTCTATCTCCAAAATCTCACTCCCTGTACATTTTCTTTGCCTTGTTTGCATATACTATGTGAACCCTAATTTTTCTATTTCTTTGGGCATCTCAGGTGCTCCCAATACTGGATCTTCGTCTTCTTCTCCAATAGAGAGCATGAGATTTGGCCGGCGTATGTCTCGGTGGATGAGATTTCAGAGGCGATGGCGGCTTTGGCACAATCGCCGTTGTCAGTCGAAATGGGAATCGATCTCCGAGATCGATTGAATTATGGGCGGCGAATTGATGGCGGAAAGAGGATTCATCTAGCCTAGCTTCCCTTGGATAACACTGTCAGCTCACTATCTCAGAACACACTCTAAGCTCTTCTCGATCTATCAGGTCAAAGTTATTTTTCTTCATTTTTTAGTTTATCCTCTTGTTTGATATTTTCCTATTATCGTATTGATTTATTCATAATGTTTCTGTTCCAGAAATTGGTCTGTGATTTTATAAATTGGTATAAAGAACAACATTTGGTATGTATCATGATTAAAATTCTGGGTTTTTTTTCCTGCAGGTTCAGTAGTAATTACTAGTTGTTTTGTTTGTTTTACAACTCTTTTTTACTGTTTCATTAGCTAGGAAGAATCAAATGGGTTCCAGTTAATTGACTAATCAATTTACTAAGAGTAATTTCAACTGGGACTTTAATCTAACTGTTGGTGGATGGAAATCCATGCCAAATAGGGTATATGTATGTCTGCATGATTGTGTTTGGCCAAGCTTAATGGTTTTGTGATGAGATCTTTCAATCCTCTACATTGTTTCAAGTATTGAATCCCCATAGGAGATCTCTGGATTCAACGTTGGACATGTCGATTTTTCTTTCAGGAAACATCCTGAGATGAAATTCTGGTGTTTAAGAATTTTAATATAAATTTTGAGTGATGTTTCATTCTTAAGCTTTGCAGTTTCCAGTTATATTTGCACAAAAGACTTGCAGACAGGGTAAACATTTTATTAATTTTTGGGCTAATGATTGATTTGGTTTATCGCATTGGTTTGCTTTATCTTATATAGTATATATTTGCAGAAATATATGTAGTGGCTCTATTCAGTAGGTTCATAATCGAATCATGTGTTTATTTTCTTAAAGTGCTTCCCGTATTATAATTTGTCAAGAGTTCAATTGCCAAGGAATACATTCATAGAAAGGTTTAGAGGCAGAAATTGTACATAAAACGCTAGTTTTAGAGGTAGTGCGGTTGAGAAGAATATCTAGAAACTTAATGATTGTAAGTAAGTTCTTGGCTGCGTTTGCTCCATTCTCTGCATATGCAATGCTAATTTTGCACTACATGCTCTTGTTGGAGTTAATTTTGTACATCTGTGCAAGTCTTTACTGATTAATTTTTTTTCTTCATGTGTGGACTGTTGGAGACTATGCAGATGCTTATGTCTATGCAGATAGAGAGACAACAATTGATGAGGCTCAAGCATTAGGTGCAGTATTTCACTCTCGAAGTCCTTTAATTGGTGGTGTTCAAAGAAATGTAAAGTCTTCAAGTGACAATGTTCTGTTTGGTACCCTCATGGATGGTTTCTTATTTCTCAGTAGAACTCATTGGTTCTATGGTTAGCTTTAGTGTACAGCTTGTAATATTTCAGTTAAGTGATTTTGTGTAAAATTATTATATTGTAGTAAATGTGGAATTTTGTGTATATATATATATTGGAATTTTTTTATAAGGGGCGTTAGCTGTTGTTAATGTATAATCCACGACGGCCATAGCCTGTGGTGTTAACCCGTGGTAGAAATCAAGACTTTCTATCACATCTAGATTACTAACGAGCATCATGTCCGTGGTGGATTGTAATCTACCACGGGCATTCACCGTGGTTGATGAGCTTTTTTTCTTATAGTGGAATGGATGCAAAAATCAACGTTAAGTACTGGACTTCTTCCTAACCTTGTGATTAAGCGCACCAGCATGGATACCCATTGTTCTGGGCTCGAAGGCTCGTGCAGCTTATGTTACACTCTCAGTTCAACAAATTCTTATGTAAACTTATTTTGATTAATCATACAAGTACACTCAGAATACCACAAACCAAATTAAGGATGACTCAATTTGGCATAATTTGTGTACAATTACAACTCCACGGCTTAAAAAATCCGAGGAAGATCCATGCAATCCGATGCACTTCTGTTATTCTATGGAAAGGACTGCTCTCCATGTTTAGGTTTGAGGAACAGGAGAATTATCAATCGGATATCTTTGCCGTGGTGGGCGCCTTGTCCTCTTACCCCGACAGGTTAAGTTTCTCTCCTCAGGTCCCTGCAGCTCGCATTTTGGTTGCTCAATCTGGGGCCGGCTAACTTCAGCCACACTAGTAGATGGAGCAGTAGTTCCCATACGCTTTCTCCCCCTTCCCCTACCACCCTTACCGGAATTTCTATGTGACAAACTTGACTGCCAACTCCCACCAGATTCCTTAATCAACCCTTCAATTATTTGAAGATCATCAGTCACCTCATTTTGTGACAAAGAAGCAAGACCGGGAAGTACATCTCTCCGGAAGTCCTTCCTTTGCCTCCCCCTCCTCGATTTGCCTCTTTGTGGCCGTTTTGACAATGTCCCTTCCTCTATGAGGTTGTCTGAATTTGGAGGCACGTAGCATGGCTGCTCTTCTTTGGTTTCCACCAAATTTAATATCATGTGCTCAAAATAGTCCATGTCAACGGGAAAAGCCTCTTCATCACAGGAAGTTGGCTTAACCTCTGCCGCACTTCCATTGTCAAGATTTCCATCATGTGAAGAAATTACTTCTGCAAACCAAAGAAGGGAGTCGTTTTCCAAAGCTTCCAGATTGCAACAAGTGGCATTTTCCTGCATCTTGGGAGCTTGAGATGCTGAGATGGCAACTAGAGCCTCGGCTGCAACTCTGATAAGGCCCTCATGAGGTGAGTCAAGAAGTTCCTTACGTCTTCTTTCAGTGGAATCTTCCCCATATATATTTGTTTCAACTAGCACCGGTGCCTCCAAATCTATCACAGTTTCTGTCCTCATAATTGAGGAAGCGGCAGTCGTTTCAGTTTCTTCTTCAGTTAAACATCTATTTAAATCTATTTGGTGTCTTGAACCAGAATTCTCATTTGAAAATCCCTTGTCTAGAATCAGACTGTCTGCTTTCAGTTGCTCTCTACATATGCGTCTGCTTTCAATTTCTTTGGAAGATTCGCCATCACAAAGTGGCACTGCTTCAAGCCAATGCAATCTTCCTTGTCGGCTTTCTTGGTTCCTCAGCCCATTCAGAGAAATTATATTTTGTTCACAAGCTCCTTCATGCAGATATTTATTAGAAGGAACATCATTCACATCAATAGCAGGTTTGACATCCACCCGGTGACCTGACGCTGAATGGTTCCCTTGGCTGGCAAGGCTCATTGAGGGGTGACAAGCCTGTAATTCATTGGCCTCCAACTTACCGCGGAAGAAAAAACCGCTTTGGTGTGACACTTCGTCTTTCAGACTGGGAGTTGACGGTATTGAATTACAGTCTAGAAGCAATCTGTCTTTGGTAACTTCACGGCTTTGTGGCATCATGAGTGAAGCGCTATTAGATTGTGTGGAGGTATTAATGGAAGTGCTTACTTGAATCGATGTTAAGTTCTGGCTTAAGCTACTTGGAGGTATTGTCCAATTAGGAGATGACTCGGAAATGGCTGCATCAGATTGGGAAGTCATAGCAGATGAACTTATATCGCTTTCAGAGATTTCTATACCAAAAAGTGTCCTCTTTATTCGTTTCTCTGTTTTATTCTGATCAGAAGTGAAAACCTTCGCAGGAGGATCACAGGGTATCCTAGCTTCGTTTTCTGATGATTCACATGGCTTATTAAAATCTTGAAGACCAAACTTTCCGCCAGAAGAATTTCTTGTTTGCTCTGAAAAAAAGCATATCAATCCGTTAGTCCAAAATGAATAGAACTGCAACCCTTTGTAAGATGTTCCAATCTTGAGCTTTATTAGCAGTAAAGTAAAGGATGGAGGAAACATGATTAACTACTTGTTTGGTGATGTCGGTAAATGGTAAGAAATTCACCAGGGACATATTCATGTAGTCTAATTATGAAATAGCTAAGAGTGTTTCTTCTCAAAAAATGAATTCTAGAGACAGACTCCTCGCCTGACCAGCATGCATCTGATAAGAGCCGTATGTGCAGGCAAGAATTTGAAAGTAATGAAACTTGTAATGCGGTAAGATTGAACAGTTATGGAATTTAGAGCTTAAATACAAAATCCGAATTACCAACGGAAATAAACACGAAATAAGATAACTAGACCCTTACCATCTCTGAGAGCATTTGTTGACCACTCTTTTTGGATTTCATTCTTTAAATGCAGATCACCAACTCTTCCATCCTTCCCCGTTTGTGGGTTTTCAGGGAATTTCTTTGCAAAAGGCCACATAACTTTGTACGCATTTGCAGATAAAACCTGCCTTTCTATCTCCTCTTTGGAGCTCGGTTGGTTGCCAGACATTATGACAGAAGTTGAAGCAGACACTTTGTCTATCTGAATAGGTTCATTCAGATCAGCCAAGCCAATGCTTCTTACTAAATGCAAACCAGAGCTCGACACACTATTGTTATAGCCAGATTTGTCAGTTCCCGACCCCAAACCTCGTTCTGGTTCTTCTTCATCACTGAGGTATTCATCGGCTGGAAGTTCAAGATTGAACAATCTTCTTCGAGGCTTCTTCACTCTGGAATCCAAAGATTCATGGTCCTTCATCCCTACTCTACTCTGGCTGGGGAGACTGCTGTTTCGCAGGGTTTTTCCAATAGAATCACAAGGAGATTGGCTGATACAAGTACTCAATGTAGATTGTCTACCATAACTGGAATCCACCAAGGGTAAATTAGAAATATGCCAACTCTTTCTGTCATCTCCAGTCGGAAAGCTGGATGATGAGAAAGTTGATTGTGATATCCCTGCTACTTTTTTATGTTTGAGAAGCTCTTTGCTTTTGATTTCGTTCATCAGGTCCTTTTGCCTTTCGTAGAGACGATGGAGTTCATTGAGCTGAATAAGAAATCACAGACAAAGGCAAAGGCATTATACTATTGGCTAACGAATTTGAGCACTCAAAGTTCGACACTTTCCTACCAACATAAAACCGCTATTCAATCTTTCTAAATACTACGATAAGTTCTATGACCATTACTACACCTTAGAACTCAACAGATATAGGTTCTAGAATATACACCTGATGCCTGAAAATTGTCTCATGCTTCAGAATAGTTTGCCTCAGTTGCTCCTTATCGTGTTCGTGAAATCCATCAATAACTGGCCTTGTCAAGAACACTTCGTATTGTTGCCCATTGTTCAAGTTTCTGTTCTCGTGGAGTAGGGACCAGCTCCCATGGCCGACATTGCTGCTTAGATTCTGTATGGAACAATATCCCGGCAAATACATCTTCGACTGCACTTTAGTTCCCATTCCTGCAATTAACCCGAGAAGCATTAGCAAAGTTCAACTTGGAAACAGTGAGAATTCAACTTAGCCTCGGTACTGTCAACACAATCAGCAGAACCACATCATCAGATTGCAAACAGAAACTCGCTCACTAGTTCCGAAAATTTTCAGTCGTATTTCACATCAGAAAACTAAATAACTAAGAAAGCAGAAATCTTTACTCAGCAGATAGAGTAAACCAGCAAGAACTCGCGAAATGCCTAGCTTTTAACACATAATTCAAAGTTGCATTTCATTTTCTAGTGATTATCATTAATCCTAGCTCCACGTTAGCATATTTCAACCCAATGTTCCTTTCCTGTCCATGATCCATCCAAGATTCTGGTCAAAAAACGAGGCCGAATTTTCTCGAAAGGAAAGAATTTACAATCTTAAGTTACAAGCAACTCTTAAGTTACGATTCGAAATTTGAGTTATGACCGTTCATCTTACGGATTAAGAAATAAACACAGTCCAAAATCTAAGCCTTGATTGAAAAACAGCAGAACCAAAGATATTAAATTATATATACATACATACATATATAATTATATATAGAGTCAAATATACAAAGAAATTTATAGAAGAAACAGATTACAGATAACTAAATTACAAATTAATCTGCAGACTAAATTAAAAAATTGAAAATTAAAACAGAAAATTGAAAATTACCTCATATGGTTTATAATCTTCCACAAGGCCTTCTCAGGATTGCCCTACAAAGTCACCAAAATTTCCGACGACCCACAAACCAATCCAACTCCATCAAACTTCACAGCCGCAATACAAAACAGCAGCAACAAAAGTAGGTACTTCTGTTCTGAACTAACATTAAACAATCAGGAAAAAAAGAAAGAAAAAAAAAACCTGAGATTACTGTCACAGAGCAAATCAGATCTGCTGCTGGAGCAGAATCTGACGAGAAAATCAGAGAAAGATGTTTCCTTTTCAATTTCCCATATCCCAAACACAGAAAGATCTTTCCTTTTTAATTCCCCCACACTCAGAGAACCCAGGAACCAACAACAACAAATGACTTGTTCAAGAACAACAATGACTTTAATTTGTCAACTTGTGGTCTGCACATTTATTCTAATATTATGCCCCCCACCCTCTTTCTTCTTCTATGGCTTTTGCTCCAATGATTTTTTCCCACTTTTAATATTACTTTTTTTATTATGGGTTTTTGAGGAAATGTGAGATAAAGAAATATTCTCTCGGTCATCCATGACCAACGAATACATGATTATTTATTTTTGAATTTGATATAAAGGGTACAAACATTCATTTAAGTTTTTTATTTAAATTGGTTTTTGAGATTGATATAAATTTAAAATTAATAATAGTACTTTGAGATTATTCATCATTAATTATTTATATCTTTTAATTTAAGCGAGGTTTTTCACGGAATGGTCAAAACAATTGACAATGGATAATCTAATAGATTATTTCTATTAATTTTAAATTTTAAAGACAAAAATAAGGAGTTCTGAGTCTTCTGACAATTTTAAAAATTATTTTAATTGAAAAAATAAAATAATATATTTTTAATTTTTTAATCTCAATTTTTAATATTAAATTCTTCGTCAGATGATAATACATCTTCGATTAGACCAAGTTATGAGAGAACGAGACTCGTCAAAGACATGATCATTTTTTTAATTATATTAAATTTTGCTTTTTCAACATTTTCTAGATTCTCTCCACCTTCCATGCTTATTGGGTGCAATTACAATTATATTCAGAAAGTACTTTAAAAGATGGAGACAACTGGGTTCACTGAAGCAACAACCTAACAGTTTCCGAAAGTGGCCGATCCCATAGAATCATTCGATCTGCCTCCGAGTGTGTTATCCACGCTAGTTATCGTGTTCCGCCACGTAACCAACCGTGACGTTTGATGTCTGACGTGGTCGTGTGTCTGTTCCACTTGCGTTGAAAGGAGCGTGGCTCCATTGTCATTTGCTTCAGACTTAACAAATATGAGAGAGAAATTTGAAAAGTGCAGCTTTTTGTATTAAATTTTTATTTGCATTTTTCCACACAATTTAAAATTTTGATTGCTTTTTTGGATTTTGCTTTTGCTTTTTTTGTTTTTTTGGTCCAAATCCGATTGGTCAACTGGAAGACTCAAGACTCAAATTCTTTTGGAAATTTAATTTTAATTTCATCCTTAATATTCAAATATATTTGCATTTTGGTTTTTTTTTTTTTTGTGCACAATATTACTACAAATTGACATATTAAATACCATGCTGATCAACAAATCACAATGTTACATCTACTAATTTAGTCATTAATTCAAATTATGTCATATCCTGGCCCGGACCCCTACCACATCTCAGGCTCGACTCCACCGTAGCACGATATTGTCCGTTTTGGGCCCCGACCACGCCCTCACGATTTTGTGTCTGGGCACTCACACGAGAACTTCCCAGCGGGTCACCCATCCTGAAATTGCTTTTGCACAAACTCGCTTAACTTCAGAACTGCGAAGCTAGTGAGCTCCCAAAAAGCCTCGTACTAAATGGAGGTGGGAATGTATATATAAGGCTTAGAGGATCCACTCCCCTGGGCGATGTGGGATGTTACAAATTAGCATCCTCGTTAGGGCTGGGTGTGGTTCAAAACGGTGCAGTATTTTGCCAAACCTGAAATTTCAATTCAGTTTAATTTTTTTTGGTTTTTTTTAGATTTCGGTCTTTTTTCTATTCAGTTTTTTCTGGTTCTGTTTCGGGCAGATTTGGTTTTTTTTTTTTTTCTTTTCTTTTTTGCTTTTTTTTTTCCTTCAATAGCAAGCAAAAAAAAAAAAATCCTTAAAAAACAAAACTTCCAATGGAATCAAAGACAATGACAATAAAGGAAAAACACTTATTAGTCCAAATTTCCAATAAATGCAATGAGAAATGGAGCACCCAAACTCCACTGGAGAAGCATTAATTAGTCCATAAACTAACAGAAACAAGCAACAGACAGCTAAAGGTGAGTAAAGGCTGAATGAAAACTTACAACAGACACCCAATGGGGTTTGGTCTAGTGGATAAAAGCAGGCTAGGCCACAAGTTGGGCGGTTCTTCTGTGTACCATCCTTAGGGAGGTCAGGGTTCGATCATCCGCTTGTAAAAAAAGCTCTTAAGGAGAGTTTTCCAGTAAAAACAGCGACCCGACTCGGAGTGGTAGCCCACTACTACCATTTTTTTTACCAAAAAAAAACTTACAATAGACCAAAAAAAAGCGTGCCAATACTCAGCACATTGGCATCCAAACCAGAAGCAATGCCTGTAGCTACCCAAGAAACCAGTTTTGACGATCCAAGCATCTTTAGAATGGTCAGGTGTATAGCATATTGAGTGCCCAAATCACTTGTAAAATCAACAGGACCGGAATCATAGATCTGTCCTGTAATACACCTTCTGACCAATTGATATTCAGCCTTCACAAAGTTAAGATAACCCATAAGAAGAGAGTTCCAAAAATGAACATATGGGATCAAATGGGCACTACGAATAAAATACAGCATGTGTTTTAACAAAAACTAGAAAGAAAACATACCGGATAATGCTAAACATCACAAATTCCATAAAAAATCTGCAGTTACATTTAAAGTTATTACAGAGTACAAACATTGAAATAAAATGAGAAAACTTACCCCAAATCCAAAAATCAGCTTATTAGTGCCAAATACACTACTCACAAAACTTACCCTAAAAACCTTGTACATACAAGCTTTTGTACCAACAAAAAGAGCCACAAAGACTACAGAACATGGCATAACCTGTAGCTCATGCATACCCAAAATACATAAATAAATAACAAGACACTCCATAGAGTAAACTTCGAAATTCGAATGGGATGGGATTTTACACCGTATAAGACTTCGGTTTTTTCTCGCTATTAGGCGAGTAATACACATACACACACAACTAACCACACAATCGTTGGCCCGGGAATCGGATCATAGCTCCGTATTAAATATATGCATCAAAATCTAAAGAAGCAATGAATAAGAAATTGGCAAGCTGGGAAGCAAGCTGACCTTAACCAGCCCATTGAGAATAACAAAGGCGAACGACATGGCCTTTTCAGGATAGAATCTACACAAAATCTCATCACCAGAGCAAAAAAATAAGCTCAAAATGCAGCAAAATTGAATAAAACACCAATCTTTAAGCACATCCATGAATCATAAACCAAATATCCAAATACAAGCAAATCCATGAACGATTCAGCACAAAAAGAATTCTAAAAATACGTCTCATGCATGTTACGTTATGTTTGGGTGGTGAGCAAATGCGAGAGAAGTGAGATTGTGAGACTAACCTTTTGCTATCAAGACTCGAAACAGCAAGAAGAATCTGACGGTGAGTTGCGAGAAATTGAGAGTGAGAAGGGTCACGCCGTTGCAGGTCGCCTGGGATTCAAGATCGAGAGAGACAAAGAGTTTGAGAGAGACTAAGAGTGATTGAAGTTGAAGATTGAGATAGAGGGAGAGAGAGAGAGAGAGAAAAAAAAGAGAGAGAGAGAGAGAGAAAGAGAGAGAGAAAAAAAGGATGAGGCTTAGGCTACGTGAAGGCCTCGGGGTTATTGGCTTGGGGGGGTAAAACGACACTGTTTCTAGAATAGGATTATTAATTAATAAATAACTACAAAACAACGTCGTTTGAAGAACTTCGGTTCGGTTTTGTTTTTTCGGCTTTGGTTCGGTTTTCAGTTTTTTCCAACCCACCCATAATCCTTGTGGCAATCAAATTTTATGTACTCATTTTGTGTGTGGTCTTTATGTGGCCTCTATTATTGATTGATACATGTTAACTTTACGACAACAAAGTTAAAAGAGTTAAGTATTCACACGTGTCAATGAATGATAGAAGTCACATAGTAACCACGTACAAAATGAGTGCAGAAAATTTCATCTCATCATCATGAGTTCTTAACCATAGAACTTGTGGAAACGTAGAACTCAGTTTAACCATTTATCCAATCGGTCATTTTAAAAGAGGAGTTGACGTTATAACTTTAATTTATAAATTAGCAGAACAAAATAATTTGAATGAATGATTATGGTCATGAATTTCTTTTTAATATTCTCGCAGATTTAAACATTACAATTAGGCTATACTAAAGTTCTCCCTTGAAAAATAAGAATCATACTTTATTATTTTTAGATTGTTTTTTGATAATTGAATACGCAGGACCACGCTTGGCATGACAATTTGCATTGTTCATTAAGTACATAGGGTGAGATCTATAATAAGATTCATACTTCTTATTAGTCAACACTTGTCAATTATCTACATGACTGTTACATACGTAAGCGACTGATACTAGCATTCTTGAACACGAACGACAAAGCAAAGATACAAACACAAACTCTAATATCCGACGACCACAAACGGATTTCACCGGACCTTCCGACGACCCATAAGCCCAAGGACCTTCTCCCAAAGGCCAACACTTCCCACACTCCTCAAATCAATCACACTTGGGCTACAAGCTACCACAGTCCAATAACCAGATCTTATTTCATCCTTCAACTGCTCTTTCTCCCTCCCACAACACCCATAAAAAAACCTAAACTCCCCGAGCCCAACCATATTCCTCTTCACCATCTCAGCTGCACACCCTACACTTTCCTTTGTCCCATAGTACAACCCCTTCATCACCTCATCAAAAACTCCACTCGTCCCAACTACATCATCACCCCCTTTGGGCCTCACTAAGAACAAACCCTCCTCCAACAGCCCGCCGAAGAACAACGGCGGTCCAAGAACGTGCCCGCCACTTCCAGAGTGGTCGATCACGTTTCCTTGATCAACATGAGGGATGGCCGGTTGAGTATGATGCCCGACGATTCCAATGGCCCAGTACCAGAATGACCGTCCTTTCGAATATGTGGACCCCGTCGAGCTTTTCGGTTACAAGGAGTAGGCAGCCCTTTTCAGGCTCGTGGATTGCGTGAGCCCATTTGTCACCAACAGTGATGGGCTTAGGTTGATCCACCAGAGTGTCAAGATCAAGTGAGGAAGTAGAAGTGGGCTCTTTTGGCCTTGATTTCTCTGCAACTACCAGTCTTGCTATGAATGATCGCCAATCTGCATCAATGGAAGGTTTGTGATCACCGTTGGATGGCGTTGATGACTCCCCGCGGCTACCTATCATTCGACAGAAACCC